AGTGACTTGCTTTATGCCCAGTCACTAACTATATGTCCTAGTGGCTTGATATATGCCCGGTGACTTGCTATTTGTCCCAGTGACTTGGTGATTAGCTGTTTGTCTCAGTGACTTGCTATATGTCCCAGTGACTTGGTGATTAGCTATTTGTCTCAGTGACTTGCTATATGTCCCAGTGGCTTGCTATATGCTTAGTGACTTGCTATATGCCCCAGTGGCATGCTATATACTTAGTGACTTGCTATATGTCCCAGGGGCTTGCTATATGTCTTAGTGACTTGCTATATGTCCCAGTGGCTTGCTATATGCTTAGTGACTTGCTATATGCCCCAGTGGCTTGCTATATGCTTAGTGACTTGTTATTCGCCTCAGTGACTTGCTATATGTCCCAGTGGCTTGCTATATGTCCCAGTGACTTGTTTTATGTCCCAATGGCTTGCTATTTGTCCCAGCTACTTACTTTATTTCCCAGTGGCTTGCTATATGCTTAGTGACTTGCTATATGCCACAGTGGCTTGCTATATGCTTAGTGACTTGCTATATGTCACAGTGGCTTGCTTTATGTCCCAGTGGCTTGCTATATGCTTAGTGACTTGCTATATGTCCTAGTTACTTACTATATGCCCCAGTGGACTGCTACATGTCCCAGTGGCTTGCTATAGGTCCCAGTGGCTTGCTATATGTCCCAGTGGATTGCTATATGTCCCAGTGACTTGCTATATGCCCCAGTGACTTGCTATATGTCACAGTGGCTTGCTATATGCTTAGTGACTTGCTATATGTCACAGTGGCTTGCTATATGCTTAGTGACTTGCTATATGCTTAGTGACTTGCTATATGTCCCAGTGACATGCTATATGCCCCAGTGGTTTGCTTTATGTCACAGTGGCTTGCTATTTGTCCCAGCTACTTACTTTATTTCTCAGTGGCTTGCTATATGCTTAGTGACTTGCTATATGTCACAGTGGCTTGCTATATGCTTAGTGACTTGCTATATGTCCCATTGGCTTGCTTTATGTCCCAGTGGCTTGCTATATGCTTAGTGACTTGCTATATGTCCTAGTTACTTACTATATGCCCCAGTGGACTGCTACATGTCCCAGTGGCTTGCTATAGGTCCCAGTGGCTTGCTATATGTCCCAGTGGCTTGCTATATGTCCCAGTGACTTGCTATATGCCCCAGTGACTTGCTATATGTCACAGTGGCTTGCTATATGCTTAGTGACTTGCTATATGTCACAGTGGCTTGCTATATGCTTAGTGACTTGCTATATGTCACAGTGGCTTGCTATATGCTTAGTGACTTGCTATATGTCACAGTGGCTTGCTTTATGTCCCAGTGGCTTGCTTTATGCTTAGTGACTTGCTATATGTCCAAGTTACTTACTATATGCCCCAGTGGACTGCTACATGTCCCAGTGGCTTGCTAAAGGTCCCAGTGGCTTGCTATATGTCCCAGTGGCTTGCTATATGTCCCAGTGACTTGCTATATGCCCCAGTGACTTGCTATATGTCACAGTGGCTTGCTATATGCTTAGTGACTTGCTATATGTCACAGTGGCTTGCTATATGCTTAGTGACTTGCTATATGCTTAGTGACTTGCTATATGTCACAGTGGCTTGCTATTTGCTTAGTGACTTGCTATATGTCAAGGTGGCTTGCTATATGCTTATTGATTGCTATATGCCCCAGTGACTTGCTATATGCCCCAGTGGCTTGCTATATGTCACAGTGGCTTGCTATATGCCCCAGTGACTTGCTATATGCCCCAGTGGCTTGCTTTATGTCCCAGTGGCTTGCTTTATGTCCCAGTGGCTTGCTATATGCTTAGTGACTTGCTATATGTCCTAGTTACTTACTATATGCCCCAGTGGACTGCTACATGCCCCAGTGACTTGCTATATGCCCCAGTGGCTTGCTATATGTCCCAGTGGCTTGCTATATGCCCCAGTGACTTGCTATATGCCCCACTGGCTTGCTATATGCCCAAGTGGCTTGCTATATGTCAGAGTGGCTTGCTATATGTCCCATTGGCTTGCTATATGTCCGAGCACTGCATGGTTGTCAACAGAGCCGACTAAAACGGATCAAATGTATTCCTAAAGAGGTTATATTAATGAGACTGAGAGTCGTAATGAATTACGTTTGTATTAACGATCAATTTGAGATTGATCACCAATTGTGCCCCCTTCTTGCTGATGTGTTTCTTATGCCAGAATTTCTGCATGTATTGGTAAAATTAAAACAACGGAATTTGAGGTAAATCATTTGAACGGAATAGGCTATTTGACCAATATTAAACGATATAAGATAACTGAAATACCAGTCGTTTAAGTTCCTCATGGGATGGACATAACAGAGACCAATGAAACTGCCTTATCTGTGTCATATTCTGATCTATGCATATACATTCAGAGAGGCAAACATCTATCCACAAAACTGTATAACAAGACTGTATGACAAGACTGTATGACAAGATTTATGGCAAGACTGTATGGCAAGATTGTATGACAAGATTGTATGACAAGACTGTACGACAAGACTGTATGACAAGACTATATGACAAGATTGTATTACAAGACTTTAAGACAAGACTGTATGACAAGACTGTATGACAAGACTGTACGACAAGACTGTATGACAAGACTGTATGACCAGACTGTATGACAAGACTGTACGACAAGCTTTTAGGGCACAATCGAGTACGAACTTTCTACCAAGATGTCAAACAGCGCAATATGCCTCTTGCTCAAAGTTGTTTTCTCATGAATACAATGCCTCAGTTATGTTTTCAAACAGTTTTATGTAATGCTGCTGTAAAAGACGACTATGCTTGTCGTAAGAGGCGAGTAACGGGACTAAGAGGCGACTAACGGGATCGGGTGGTCAGGCTCACTGACTTGGTTGATGCATGTCATCGATCCCAGCTGGATTGTCTGGTCCAGACTCGATTGTTTACAGACCGCCGTCATATAGCTGGAATATTGCTTAGTGCCGCGTTAAACAACAAACCAAACCAAAAATCAAACAGTTTTATGGTGGACATGTGGAAATCATTCCAAATTTGACGCATGACAAAAAGAATGTCCAATGCATTTCCCGTTGGCATGAGTTCCCGTGTGTTTTCTTTAGGTTAACAACTGATATGCCTTTGCATGTGGCTGTGACAGATGGTTGTGATAGTTAGGAAATCGTATTTAATGGAATTTTATTAAATCCGTTATGATTATGGAACAAGGGTATAGTCGTTCTTATTTACATTATTCAAAAGGATATTGTAAACTGCACATTCCCCGGAATACATTTTACTGCATTCCAAGCATTACGTGTGTTGATCTCACTGCATGTGGACATTTATTTATTATTATTCATGATCACAAGACAAAAAAAAACCAAAACAAACTACTAACTGAAATGAGAAGTTTCAAAACTGTATCGTTTCCCGATAGGATATACAGAATAAAATATATTAATGACACTTGATTACCCATTTCCCGATAAATCATACACAATGAACGATTGTGGTGATACATGATTTCCAATTTCCCGATAGGATCAACATACTAAATAAATAGCCATGTCGGAAGGAAGTATTTCGTTACAATTACGACAAAACAACACGGAATGATAAACTTGAATAAGATACAATTGATTTCCTGTACGGGCGTCTTAGCGCTTACCTTTTTGTTCATGCCATACACATATACCCGTAGACGTTCTGGAACAATATGGAGCGTATCCTCATTACCATTGCGGCTGTCTTCTCCAGGACACAAGGTACATAGAGAATTTCACCCGAGTGTCTTTTGATATCAAATATATCAACACGAGTTGATAAAAGTGGCAAAATTCCGAGACTTGCCGAGGACTTTTTCCACTTTTATCAACGAGTGTTGATATATTTGATATCAAAAGACACGAGGGTGAGATTTTATTTATTATCCAACATCATTCTTTCAACTTTTTCAATTTGTAGAGTAATTAGCAGTGTCTTCAGTGTAAAAAGTACTGCAAACAGCTTCAGTAGCAGAGCCATTAGTGATGTCATTTGATTGTGACGTCATGGTAACCAGTGACATCACAATAGCCTGCAAACCATTGTGATGTAATTTCATTGCAGCGATATCTACAGTGTAGTTATCGCTTGATCTCATCCAAGCGATATCTCCTGTGGGAGCCAGTTTTGGATGATAAACCTTATTGCCAAAACTCAGAAACTGTTTTGAAAAGGTAAGTGTCAATGCTTTAGTTAGATAGACCTCAGAGAAGGTATATATGTGCCGTTATTCTCCATAGTCTTGAAAGACAGGCAGCTGGCCTAACATTAACTACCTCCATAGTGTAAATTGAGACTCACACGACAATAACGGATGAAGTCCTAGTCTAAGATGAAAACGAAAACGTTTATGATGGCGAATTTCTTTCCCAGTGATTTTGCTTTTTACGCCCAATGGAATCTGTTTCGTCAGATAATCGAGACTGGTTATTCGCTGGCGTTGACGTTGTTATTTATGTTTACATGTTTGACATAACATTTAGGAGCTGAATCTAAACCTTTTGCATGGATGGTGAAGATAACATGAGTAACACACAGATCCATGGTTGAGACACGTTTTAACATCGGAACCCAGAGGGACGGTGGAGTAGTTAAAAGTGAAGTGGTTAAAGCGTTCGCTTGTCACGCCAAAGAGCCGGGTTCGATTCCCCACATGGGTACAAAATGTAAAGCCCATTACTGGTGTCCCCGTTGTGATATTGCTGGAATATTGCTAAAAGCGGCATAAAACCATACTCCCTCACTCACACACAGAACCCAGATGTAGACCATACATTACTCATGTGATCATGATGTGTGTTAAAATGATGAATACATCCATAAAAATGCGTTTCTTTACCCAGAAAACCAACATCGACACACCGATCCCATAAAACTACCAATCATAGTGCTGTTAAACAAATTATCTTGATTTGAAACAAAATCTCCAAAGACAATGAAAAACACTCGATTTGGACCCGAATTCAATTTAGTGTCGTCAGATTTACGGGTAACATAGATGTACACTGAAAGCAGTAAAAAAATGTTATATTACAAACATCAACGATTACCAGGGAGAAACTAATTGTGTATTATTGCATCGTCCTGGAATCAGCAGTCTCGGGTAGATTGTGACATGAGTATCATTTATTTCATTGCAGCAATATCCTTCTGCTCGATCAGTGACACAACTGTGCATTGCTACCAATGCAGTGCCATCTGCACATCAAATACACACGCCTGCTTTAGGTGTCCCGTTAACTGTACCGACCCCTGTGAGTTTGTGTGCAGTCCGGGGTGCCTTCACCAAACATGCGAGTATCAGCGAGGACAGCTCATATGCTCTGAGGGATGCCAAGATGGGCGAGCAGGGATATCTTGTCAAGAGTTTTGTCCACCTGACTGCCAAAGCTGTGATCAGTTTACATCGGAGTGCAAAGAAGTAATTGGGAGTCCTAAAAGAACAGGTGCCGCATATTCTGGTACATGTTTCAAATAGTTCTGGTCAAAGCTTAATCTAATTGTTATGATAATTTTTTTAATAGTCTGTGCCATAATCAGGATGATTAAGTATTGTTTTACGTTTTTTTCAATATTGCATTAATGTCAGAGCAAAATGGGCTTCACAATATTGTTTCTGGAACAACACGAACCTAGGCCATCACTTATTCACTATTCCATGTTACTCTACCGGATCTGATGTGTCTTGCGTGAAACCATAGTGTCATATTCCTTGTACTGATTGGGCAATATTTACATGCCTTGGTAAACAACAATTATTCTCAATGATAACATTCATATTATGTTCGCTATACATTCAGCTCTATGGCTGTTTGACAGAAACGCATCAGGTTGATTTATTTCGTTACCTTCTACGATCTCGGCGGTTGCCTCACACACACACACACACACACACACACACACACACACACACACACACACACACACACACACACACACACACACACACACACACACTAACACTAACACACAAACAAACACACTAACACACAAACAAACACACTAACACACACTCACACACTAACACACACACACACACACAAAAGGATGACACACAGAGGATGACACACATACACGCAAACAGGCACACGCACACTCAGGGGCAGACACGCATACACACACGCACGCACACACACACAGAGTTAAAATTGTCGAACCCTTCTATGTATAACATAACCCATGTGCAAGCTACAAATACCCAGTTCAATTGAAGTATATATCCAAATAGTCCAAGTAGTAACCAACTGTATCTTTTATTGACAAAATGACATCGCGTCTGACAATAACGTGAATACGATTAGGGCTTGGGATAAATGTAAGATCCTGTATATATCTTTACTGTTTCCACAGAACATCAATGGCTTGTAATAGGCCCTGTGTTTGCTGTCATTCTTCTTCTGGCTGTTGCTGCGGGGCTTTGTTACAAGAGGAGGCGAGCACTCGGACGTCTCAACAGGTAAAGTATGCACCTCATTGGTGAAACATGTCCTGAAGTTAACTTTTGTATCCCTTTCTTCCCGGTGTTATATGTGAAATTTAATTGAACGTTAATTGAGCGTGCTCGCTTCCGGTAATTCATTGCCTCTAAACGAACAAAGAATTAGCTCGAGATGTACCCTCTTTTTTGTCTGAATGCGAAACACATGTACTCACAAGTATTAATTTCAACGAACACGCGACCACATGCCACGTTGAGGTCAGAGCTCGGCATTTTGGTTGCTGTTCAACATCGGAATTCACACTGAGAGTGTTTCTCCTTTAGATATAAGGATCTACCGTGATCTCAGAGTCGATTTGCTGTTAACCAGAATATATATGAATATGGGACAAAATGAAATAAAACAAAATGATCAAACAGTGTGTCTTACATGTCATTTGTCACTGAAATACTCAGTGTAATTACTGAAACAATAATTCAAAGGGTCATTAAGCCGACATCACTCACTCACATTGATACCAACGCTCTTCAATGTTGAGCTTCAGTGCATAATGTTTTACTGTCATGAAGAATGGGGAGTTAATACTAGTCTATTATGTAAAACGTGAAAGATATCAGAAATGTTTGCGTTATGAGAAAACATTTTCATTACAGACCACTTGCCATTGAAAGACTTGCCATGTCAGGGGAATCTGGGCACGGGCCTGCAATGGAGGAAGAGGATGACCGAAAATTCATATCAGAGGTTACAACTCAGTCAACTCCGGGTAGAGAGTACGAAGATGTTGGTAACACATATGTTGAAAGTGTGCGTCCGGATCAGTTGCAAGGAGTTGCCCCTCCTGACCTCACCCAGAGTAAAGAAGATGGGGAGAAGTACAAATATCTGACGCCAGTCCCGCTGAACCTGCCTTGAGAAAACGTTCCTGCTGCTGAAACCAATTTTCACATTTGGGCATACCAGTGCTTTGACCGTTGTTGTGACTAAAGGCTAAGAATATATATGTTTTCAACTCTGTATGTTGTGAGGCTCCATGTAACCTACACAAGAGGCGGTTTAGTAGCCTAGTGGATGTGGTAGTGGAAAATAGTGGATTCATCGTGTGTCATTCGTCATGCAGTCGGTTGCTTTGTCATAGAAATTTCCATGGAAACTCACACAATTTGATCAAGAGGTCTAATCATAATGTGTCATACGTTGAAGGCCAAGGATTGTGTCTCCGTTGAAATAATCCATAAACATTTCAACGATTTCGGGATTTACGCGACCTTTCTGATGAGACTTGAACCACTTCAACCAAGGGGAGGATTACTGGCGGGCTCCTTTTTCATCACCTTTCACTTCCATGTGTTGTATATATCTTAAACATATTCTGTCGACCATAAGATTTCAATTATTTCCGTAAGGCATATTACCTTATCAAACATGTTTTGAAAATCCGGACATACATCAAGTCCATCTCATTGGCTCATATAGAGTCATGAGATTAAAGCCGATAGCCCGTAGGTTTATAGTAACCAGGATAAATCAACGATTAATGGAAAAGGACATGGCATCTAGTTCATGGCCCTGGACCACATCGACTCGTGTTGATATATCATACCTATTAAAACTTTGATGGTGTTGCATGAACGTTTGGGAAAATAATTATCTTGTTATTCCTACATTTACATAACTGAACCTTAATCTTTCCACACTGCAGCAAGTCTGATTAGTAATAGTAGCGTTTGGTAACCAACTGGGTGATGATGTATTTATACTCTGACGTTAGACAACATCATAACTGTAAATATATGAATGTCTAAATTGTCACCAAAATTTTTTTTCGAAACTGTGTTTAGTATTTGTTTAGTATGTGTTTTGTCATACTCTGACGTTAGAAAAAATCATAACTGTAAATATATGAATGACTAAATTGTCACCAAAAACATTTTTCGAAACTGTGTTTAGTGTTTGTTTAGTGTGTGTTTCTTTAGTAGTTTTAGAATTCTATTTGCCTGAGACCAGTGTTACATGTTCAGTACTTAACAGGTAGAAGCGTTCTCAGACATGATATAATAACGACATATGGCAAAACTTGATTGCAAACAATGCATATGACTTCTCCTACTATTGCCTCAATTATTATCTTACACGGTGTGGGGGCACGGGTGGGCCAGTCGTCTAAGGCGCCGCGATTCGCTGTGCAGAGGTTCGTCCCTTGGGCACGCCAGAAACCTATGATTGTGGGTGCGAATCCCGGTTCTCCCCGATTATGTTTCTAGGTTTGTCAGCACCATACCCGTGCTCGTGGGTTTCACCGAAATGGTAAACGTCTGAGACCTGCGTCACTTCGGGCTTTCCTCCCATATATACTGACATGCCGTGATATAACTGGAATATTGTTAAAAGCGGCGTTAAACCCAACTCACTCACATATACGATGTGACAAGGTTTTACGACAGTGTTTTATATAGTGACGATGCTGTGTCAGTTTTAACAATGTTAATGTTGCTTAATTAAGGAATTAAAACTTGTAGATTGCCTTCTTTTTTCAATGCCATCTGTTGGTACACATAAGTATCCTGGTTGTATTATGTTGTTTCTAAGACATTGACGTGGAGTCACTACATTCATATAACTCGTAACATGGGCCGGGGAATTCCAAAATCAATCTTTATTTCACCTTGAATCGGGCCACCAAAGAGAATCAATCGTGTTTTGAATCCCGTTTCGACCTGGTTATGTTTCTACGTTTGTCCATACCCGCGCTCAGCTCCGGGGTAAAGTTCACTTCTGGCTTTCATACAACATGACAACGCAGCGTTAATGAAAACACAACCACTTATCTTTTATAGAATATTCGCCCTACGTGTGTATAACCTTACAGTTTAACCTCATTGGGTCACGATTTGATGTTGCAAGGGAAGTCACATAATATCAGCCACTGTTTGCCAGTATACGTTAGCTGTTGACTAAGTCTTGATTCATTTTAGTAGTATCTACAATATCTCTCTCTCTCTCTCTCTCTCTCTCTCTCGCTCTCTCTCTGAATTACATGCACACGTACGCGTGCATAAAGAGGGAGAGAGAGAGGAGGGAGAAAACCTACAAGTATTGTTTACTATCACCCACATGTGTTTCATCACACAAAGATAATCATGTACACGAACTGATGTTATCATAAATAACCAAGCACCCACCACCAGCCCAACAACCAAACGAGTTAGGTAAACGGCTACATTGCCCTGTAAAAATAACAGAATAAAATAAGAATTAATGGTTCCGAGGAAGGTTGGTGCCTAAAATTGGTACTTAGACATCATTTTTGAACATTTGTTTGTCATTAACAACACCATTCTTTACTAAAAGCAGAATCCATTGTACAATTCCAATTATATCATAAGCATGTGTTTATCAAAAGTGAATCAAAGTAGCAAAGAAATGCAGATCAGTGTACCTTTCATTTAAATATCATATATAAACCTCAGACAAATATTCTTAACGACTGATCATGAAGTAAGCCTACCGGTTAACGCATTGGTTCGTCGCTTGAGTCAGTGAGTGAGTGAGTAAGGTTTGACGCCACTTGATTCCTGTTTTTTTCACGACGTATCAGTTAAATGTGGGAGGACAGCCGGAAGATGTTTAGTTAAGAAATGCAGTTCTCAGCCGTTTACCACTTTGGCGAAACCCAAGGGAACAATTATGGTGCTGACAAATCTGAACACATTATCGGGTCGAACCCACGACCATACTAGACTTCTCGCGTGCCCAACGGATGTAAACCCCCACAGAAGAATTGGACGACTGGGCCACCCTCGCCACCTGAAGACGTGGGTGTGATCACGATGTTTGAAAGTAACATGCACGTTATCCCCACCCTGATATGGCTTGAATATCACTAAACGTCCCATACAAATTCACTCAATCATTCGCTTCGCAACGATTACATTCACGATATAGAATTGTTGGGTTGGGCTTCCGTCATTCATGGCATGTTTTCCCTGTTCACTTGCTGTACGATTGTGATGGCATACAAATGAAAACCCAACGTTTTTATTGCCCAACAAATGATGTTGCACGTGCATGTCATCTTGGTGTGTTTCGACGCCGGGCTCTCAAGGGGTTGTGTTTTTTTAAATTTTTAATTTTTTCACCACATTTTCGCAGTACCCCATTCTTCCCTCACAAATCAATCTCAATCCATACAGAAATGACCAATTCAATGTAAGTATTACTTTGGCATGGATGTCGGCAACACCCTATCAGATATTTACGATTTTAGTACTTTTGCGTTTCTTTTTTGTGCAGAGTATATATTCAGACTATTTTAGTTTTTAATAAGGATACAAAATGTTAAATCAATATGTATGAAATATTTAAACAAATATTCATTGGTGTCACCTCACCTTAATTTGCCTTCTTAAGCCAGGCATATGCCATTAATTAATGAGGAAAATGAATGTAAGCCCGGAAGATGCCTTTACAGTAATGCAACAACTGAAAAATGAAGAAAAACATTTCCATATCAGTTACTTCCTCCTTATGTTTATATGTATTTTCCAATGAATTCAGGCACGTGTCGGAAAACTAACGGGACATTTTCCCAGATTCAGCAAGTTTCATTTATGTAAATCAATGGCTAAGGGTTGAGACTTAAAACCTGAAGAAAAGTAGTAATACGTACACAAATAAAAGGTGATTATTATGAAAGATTTAACAAAAACGTACATGAAACGTCAATTAGCAACACATTTACATTTCAATTGGAATAAATTTGGTTATTGCGCTGTTCTGAGTCTCAGTCTATAGCGTTATGACTACCTACTGTATAAGGACGTTCTTTGCAATTGGGGCACTTGTAAAAAACTTTAACTTTTATTAACTTTTATAACCATTCTTTATTCTGAATTAATACAGGCAGTATTTCCGTACATGATACACCTCAAACACAAAACCTGATAGAACAACATAGCTAAAAGAGTCCGTGCTGATAGTTACAGTATTTATTCGTGCATCATTACCTGCTTTCAAGGGAACAAACTGACGAATGAACACACATTGAAACTGTTACATTTTAGTATGCATTTGGAAGTTGATCGATATACGAAGTAAATCCTGACGAACGTATGAAGTGACTACAGAGCACTTCGTCGATATAGTTCAACTACAGATAATACAAGCAAAGCTTACGTACATTGTATTGTGTGTAAAATGTATACATAGTTAATGCTTTTAAGTGGCATGATAGTGGAATGGTTTCCAGGATGACGAAAACGCTCTTTTTCCAAAATTTACCTCAATGCAATGCCGACAGACACAGACACATTCACGCAATGAGACAGATACTCAGACAGACACACTGACATATATACGCACAGACATATTTGTTGCACCTCACAGACCTGTCAGCAACTCATATTTACGCTGAAGCATATTGAATGGTAATGTTATCGTATAGAATATGGAGTTAAACAAAACAACACACATACACACAGAGACTGAAACAGCCACAGATAGACACACAGACAGTCACACACAGACAGCCACGCGGACAGACACATACACATTCAATGAGATATATACAAGCAAACAAACACAACCGCAGGCGCGCACAGACAGATAGACACACAGAGACAGACACCGACAAACATACTCACACACAGCCAGCCAGAAAAAAAACAGACACACTCACACAAACACGCACACATACTTACACACAGACACACATACATGTACCCACAGACAGACCTACAGACACACACAAACACACATGCTCACACACAGAGACGCAGAAACAGACTATGTAAAGGTCGGTCCAATACAGCAAACCACAACTCACTGTCAGGCAAACAGTCTACACTGGAGTTTCAAGCACTTTTTTGTCACTCGACAATGAGGTGGGGGGTTATTTTCCTCTTGTATCTGAATGTACCTGCCATAACTATGAAACAACTATAGTCAGCCTTTATGCTAATGATGTTTAGTACAAGTATCCTGGTCATTGTACTTTATAAAGTCATTATGTTAGAAAAGCTTTATGATAGATATTATATTTTCACCGTGAGGCATTTTGCAGTGTATGCATTTCCCGAGACGGTTGTCAATACAAACATGGGTACGCCAAGTGCGTGTGATAGCTGGGACGTTCACCACCAGTAAACACCTAGGTCAAGGGCTTTGTGACGCAAGCAGTAAAGGTATTCCTAAAAGCTTACACACACCATGTAAGCAGTCTATAACCTCGCCCGGCTATATTAACAACACACTTTGCAGATATGAACCTAAATCGTGATTGTAATCCTGTTTTGTATAATCATGACATGTCTTAATAAATAAAACGTTGTTTGCTGCACTGCGCTCCTGTCGGTAATGGCTGTTATTTGTACTCACTTGTGTACAAACATTTCCGGCCATGTGTTGCCGTCAGGACGCTGTGCTTATAATAACAAGGAAAGAAAGTGGGACAAGAAATTTAATATCATAAAATAAAATAAGCTGTTCAAAACTGATGAAAAACAGTTTTACATGTAGTTAAATACAACCAATGAGATTGATGAGAAAAGAACCACCATGGATTCCAGTGAAAGGTTATGGAAACAGTTGTGGTCTGTACCCGGCAACTGCAACCTCGAGGAACTATGGGTGGAGAATTACAATAATAATGTACATGACAAAATAAGGTAACCATTGTTGTGTTTCATTACACCTGATTTACTGAAAGAAAAAGTAATTAAAAAGTCCAAATCTTGTACTTCGCCAGGGCCTGGTGGTATTCGAAACAGGTATTCCCTGTGTCCACACACGGTTACTTCACCGTTGGTCCGCCTTGGTTGTGCAAAGGTCGAACAATACTTCTCCCAAAGAAAGGTGATTTGACTGACCCTAAAAACCTCCGCCCTTTTTTGTCTGAATACACAGTACGAAATATTTACGGGGTGTCTTACAGATCTTGTGTCATCATGTTCTAATGACATTCTTACATGGAGCAGAAAGGAGCCAGAAAGAGATGTTGGGGTTGTAATGATCAATTGTTGGTTCAGAAAATGGTCCTTGATCATGAAGAGGCTAAAACTGACTACAGAAAAGCTTATGATTCTGTACGAACAAATGAATTTGAAGTCATTGGAATGTATTGACCCCCGAGCGGCTGCTTGTTTTACCCAAGTCTTTAATGAGTGG